ATATATTTGTTAATAACATACCTGTATTAATTCCAAATACACAGGCACAACTGTTTGCATATTATTATTGATTTAATAATATACCCCACAGTTTAAAAAAAAACCTTAGGTATATTATTTTATATATAACATATATTAGATATATAATTGTATATTATGTACCTTAATATATATTATATATAACTTGAATCCATAATAGCACAAAACTCTCCAAACATTACATGAACATTCTAAATAGATACTTAATCATTTTCTCAGTATAGAAATAGTTCAGCTCACCTAAAACAATATCTGGATGTGCAATGATAAAAAGCACTGACTCTTAAGAATTTACTTAAATAATTATTTAAGTTAAATTCTTGCAAAAGCCTAACTCTGATCTTTTACTTAGAGTATATTTTTAGGTATCAGTAACTGATAACTTCCTTTCTTATCACAAACAGTATTTCCCCATCAAGAGATACCAATAAAGAAAAATATGTAGGGAACCAAAAATGTGATAGAGAAACCAACCATTCCATAGGTAATATATCGATAAGGAAGTTCAACTTCCATGTGCTGTCTTGCTTTTCGAATATCATCACATGGTATGTTGAAGATTTTACAGGCTAAAGGAATGGTGATCTTTTTCATTATATCTCTGACTATTAGTACAAATATCATTCCTATGAGGATCCGCAATATGGCTTTTCCAAACAGAGTCACAGTAATGGGAGGCCTAGTGAAAGGTAGTATCTCTAAAGAAGGATCTAATAGTAGACCCACGCTATAAGCAACATGGGATCCACATGCAATTCCAGCACCACTTCCTAGAATCTCAGCTGTGTCTCCACGGGATGTGCTCCARGTATCAAGAGTGAAAGAAAAGATCCCTAAAGCTAAATGAAGACCGATGATAATTAGTGGAGCATATTTGTGAGTTTGGTTGAAGTTGTCAATCAGGTCCACAAATGGATAGAAGACAGCTAAGATTAAAATGGTATATAGGAATCCAGCAATAATGTCCTGGGAAAAGATAAAAGTTGTTTAGTATAGTTGTTTAATATAATACTATTTTTGGCATTTAAAAAATAGTATATATTTCACATTTTAAAAGTTGAATAGATACAAATTTTATAATTCTCAAAGTAAACTTTACAAACTAAAAATGGTTGTAATGATAAAAAAATCTACTGGTAATAATAAAAGATTATTTTCATAGTTTTACCCTTTTATAAATTAAGAACATATACACAAATTTACATTCAGATTCTGAACAATAAACTGTGCTTATATTGTACAGTTTTGTTTCTGAAAAGAAAGTATATTTATTATTCAAAGAAATAGTCACTTGCTGTCATACAGCTTACATTTTAGTGGAAAAGACTGAGGATAACTGTGTTTAAGTAAGAAAACAGATAAATATTATAGTGACAGATAGTTACAAACGTTGTGTAGAAAGTAAAACAGGATGGGAAGGGCTCTATGAGAGTGGGAGGAAGCCTGTCTGAGGAAGTCAYACCTAAGCAAAGACTAGATTTTAGACAGAATTAGCCCTACCTTTCTTTACAGTGCTAGAGGAAAAGATTCTCCAGGCAGAGGGAATACCAAGTGCAAAAGCAAAGGCCTTGAGGCAGAAAAGTGGTGAGTTCAAGGGAACTGACAGAAATCCAGCATGCCTCAAATATCAAAGGGAGAGGAATATGATACAAAATCAAAGAGATACGTAGAAGTCCAATCATGTAGAACTCTTGTAGTTAGGGAAAGAGTTTAGACTTTATTTCAAAAGTCACAGGGAGCCAAGGCTGGAGATGTGTCCCAGAGATAGAATGCTTGCCTGGCATGCAAGAGACCTTGGGTTCAATCCCTAGTACTACAAAAAATAAAAATAAAATTCATATCTACATGAAGAGAAGGTATGTCAATAGATTTAGTAAAATATTTTAAAATTAGATTTAATTTTAATTTCTTTCCCATATTCATAAGTTGAATATGGGAAAGAAATAAAAGAATTAATAGAAGATAATTTACTGCAAAAAATAAAGCTAGTATTTAAAGTAACTTTTCTGGATTATTTTTTTTAAACATATTATTTTGTGTTTTCATCTTCTTTTTTTTTAATATTTATTTCTTATTGGACACAACATCTTTGTTTTGTATGTGGTGCTGAGGATCGAACCCGGGCCACACACATGCCAGGCGAGCACGCTACCACTTGAGCCACATCCCCAGCCCCTGAATTATTCTTGAAAACATGCAAACATGTTCCATAATTTTTACCTTGAAACCACATCCTCACATCTACTCTGTATCACTGAAAATCTTGTCAAAAGAATTAACAGTCCCTATGTCCATGTCCTCACYTCCTATATTTTTCTAGACTCACTCCTTCAATGAAACCACCACTTTTCATGGATACTAGCAATCTTCATGACACTAAAAACAATGGTCACTCCTCAACTAGGACAGACTCCAGGAGTCCTCTACCAGAGTTACATTGCCAGCTCTTTTTATGTTTTATTTTGAGACAGAGCCTTGATAAATTGCCCAGGCTGGCCTCAAACTTTGCAATCCTCTTGCTTCAGCCTTCCAAGTCACTGGGATTACTGGCATGCACCACTGCACCCAGCTACAATGGTCACTTCTCAACAGCATTCAATATAGTTGAGCAACAGACTATCTGTTCAAATGTTTTGTCTTAAAATTCTTACTGGGAAAAAAATTAATGTAGGGTATAAGCCAGGTACAGAAGTAAACACCCATAATCCCAGTGATTTAGGAGACTCATGCAGGAGAATTGTAAATTTGAAACCAGCCTGAGCAACTTAACAAGACCCTGTCTCAAAATAAAAAATAAAAAGGACTGGAAATAGAGCTCAGTGGTAGAACACCCCGGATTCAATCCCTAGTACTGCAAAAAAAAGAAAAAAAGATACATAAAGTGTATATGAAATTACAAAATTACTATCTATGAAATTACTTGCCCAACAAAAGAACTATAATATTACCAGTACTGTCAGATCTATTGGTGCACTGCCTCCTAATTCTATCACTGTATCCTTCCCAGAGGCAATTTCCAAGTCTGGATTTTGGCTGAATTAATTGTTTTTTTTTTAATTATTTATGTTTTAGTTTTAGGTGGACACAATATCTTTAATTTATGTGGTGCTGAGGATCGAACCTAGTGCCTCATGCATGCTAGGCGAGCGCTCTACCGCTGAGCCACAACCCCAGCCCTGAATTAATTGTTTTACCACATATCTTGAAGCAAAATATTATCTAGTTTTGCTTCTTCCTGAGCTTTGTAAAAATATTACCATGTAGCATGTAGCCCGCGGGGCCCTTTTTTTGGTACCAGAGATTGAGCCCAGGGGCACTTAACCACTGAGCCACATCTCCAGCCACTTTTTATATTTTATTTAGAGACAGAGTCTATCTGAGTTGCTTAAGGCTTCACTAAGTTGCTAAGGCTGGCTTTGAATTCTGATCCTCTTGTCTCAACCTCCCAAACTGCTGGGATTATAGGCAGGCACTACCATGCCTGGCCCTTGTGGTYCCTTTTGACTTGTTTTTTACACTTAACATTAAGGTTTTTAGATTCATTCATTATATATAATTGTAGATCAACCACATTCACAACTCTATAATATTTTGCTTTGTGATTACACAATTCATCCATTTTCCTACTGCTGGTCATTCAGATTGTTTTCAGATTTTGGATTAATTAACTGGTCCCGGTTGAACTTGAATGCTTCCTTAGTTGGCATCTATTCTTAAACCAACCAGGAGTATTATAAACATTACTCCTATGCTCTTTTTTGTGATGCTCCCTGGCACAGATCTGCAACTGTTTCTCTAGAGTATATGCTTAGGAATAGATTATCTGAATCATAAAATATGTTCAATTTTACAAGACAATAAAAAGGACAAGAAAAAAATGATACAACCCACTTTAAAACTTAGAATTCCATGAAATAGTTCATATTTTGTCATATTATGTCTTTTCTTCTATGCTTTATCTACATTCCTAGGGTGCCTTCAGAGACACCATGTGAGAAAAAAAAAGATTCCACATGAGATGCTGAGGGTAAAGATGCTGAGGGAAAATATACAGTTCTGTTCTCAAGGAGCTTACAGTTCACTACAGATGACAGACAAGAAAAAAAAAGCCATCCCAATTAAGGGTAAATGGAAGAAGGGTCACCTAATCAGTCTTAAGAAAGGGAAGATGGGGAAGGTAATGAGGCTTAAGAACATCTGCAATGAGTAATGAAGAATGAATGGGACAGCTAGCCAGGCCAAGACAGTGAAAAGGGCATTCCAAGCAAAGGTATTCCTAAAATCATAGAGGTAAGAAACACTCTGCATTTAAGTAAATGTAATTCTGCATGGCATCACATCTGTGGGAAAATTTACTAATCAGGAGACTGAATACTAGATGGAGCAGTCAAACTGGAAGCAGGGCTACTAATTAAGAAATTGCTGAGATAGTCTGGTCAATATATAATGCAGGTCAGGACTAAGGGGATGTCAATAGGATAGAGGGATAGGAAGTGAGTAGGTGTGGCTGTAAACAGAGCAGCCCCCTCCMCATGTTGCTGTTTTTGAAATGTAAATACAGTCTCAAAATAAAATATCTGATTTGAGTCTTAAAAATACTGATAGGAAAATGAAGAAATTTAGAGTTTCATATGTAAAGACGTAGCCACCAGTCACTAAGTCTTTACTAATACTTAGTACTCTCCCTGGTTTCTGGACAGAGTACCTGGTTTCAGTTCAGTGACARGAGAGGCACTAAAGAGATTCTACAGGAATATAAAACTAAGACACCGTTTCTATGAAACATGATTACTACATTCATAATTCACAAGTCATCATACTGGTGCTCTGTAAAACAGTTATAAGACTTAAAATAACTATTTTCTCACTTAGGTTTCATACAAACTTGCAAATGATTAAAATTATAAAAATTTTCATCAATGTCAGAAAAAATAAAGCATCAAAAACAATGTTTTCCTTACCAGAATGGAGTGCATTCCCATGTAAATTCTACTTAGGCAAACTAGAGAACACCAGCAGGGAATAAGAATCAGTCCATATATAGGAGGATACTATAAGGGAAAGAAGTGAAACTGGTTAGATTAAGTTAGATACAAACAAGAAATAAAAACCAAATCACTGTACTAACTCCAGGGTTATCGAGAACTGTTTTTACTTCCCATTGCACTCCCAGCACCTAATTCAGGGCATAGCACATGTCACACACTAAAGAAATACTTTTCCAACGATGAACAAATGACTGAATTTACATGTTTCTACATTATTCTTTCTGGGAACTGGCTCATTTTTGCTTCTGAAGTACAGATTTGATCACTGGCATGCTACAGGAGGAGGACAGACAGAAGACATATTTTAATATGGTTCCAAAATTACAGTTGCTGGAACAGCCCCTGAATCTGGTCCATGTCAATATCCTCACTTCCCTGGGGAGGAGGACCAAGAATTTTCTCCCTAATTTSCATCAGTGATCACTATTTCTAATTTGCATTGACATTTCCCCTCCTCATATTCAATATTTAACACTTAGTAATTAGCTTTCCACTTCTGTGCCCTCCACTAAAATTTCAAATGCTAATATTGAAAAAATTTGCAGTGAGATAATGGGAGCAGAAACCTCCCAAAAGAAAAAAGCATAAACAGAAAGTAAAGGCAACTCTTGGTATCAATGGCACCAATGGAAGAACTGACTTCGAATGTCCTGAGATTAGAGGGGAAGGAGGAAATAATGGATGGGTATGATGCTAAGTTTGTAAAGGAAGAGGAGAAAGCATAGTCAGGGCAGTTTATACCTCAAATTTCTCAAAATTTGAAAGCCAAACTGAAGCCAAGAAGGTTGGAGAACTGGAGTTGAAAGAAGATTTTGAGAGTAGTAAATATTTAGTAACATTTGTTCTATTTGACTTCTCTACTACATTTTACATGGCCCTCCACTTTTTCTTGAAACTCTAAATACCCTTGAGAGCCCTGGCTTCACACTCTCTAGTTCGCTTTTTTGTTTCTGACCCAAGAGTATATCTTCCTCTTTTTATTCCTTACACATTAGTGCAAATAAGGGGTTTTGTTTTGTTTTGTTTTGTTTTGACAGGGGAGGTACTGGGAGTTGAACCCAGGGGCACTTATTCACTGAGCTATGACCCCAGCCCTTTTTATATTTTATTTTGAGACAGGATCTCAATAAGTTGCTGAGGCTGGCTTTGAACTTGAAATCCTTGTGCCTCAGCCTTCTGGGTTGGTGGGATTACAGGTGTGCTTATTTATTTTAAACRTTTATTTTAGTTGTAGATGAACACAATACCTTTATTTTATTTTTATGTGGTGCTGAGGATCAAACCAAGTGCCTCACACATGCCAAGTGAGCGCTCTACCACTGAGCCACAATCCCAGCCCTTCTTATTTTTTAACTAGTACTGAGCATGCATTTCCCTGAGTTTAAGGACCAAATTCCAATTCCTGTATGTATCTCCACCTGAAAGTCCCTATGGAGTTAAACCCACCACCTCAAAACAAACTCATCATCCTATCACTCACACAAACTTGCTCTATAATATTCTATATAAGAAACATGAATTATCCTTACTTCTTTTCTTATCCTTCTACTCAACCAATAACTAAGCTTGACTAATCTAGCCTTACCAAGTACTACCTTCTAAATATTCCTTGCTGTCATCTCTTCTACATCCCTATTTATATTGCTCTTGCTCAGATCCTTAGTTTCTTTTACAGGCTCCCTATGTATTCCCTACTGCCCACTGTGCCCCATGCATGAGGAACTTGGTTTACTTGGGCAAACAGACATTTAACCATACAATGAGGTAAGTACTGACAGGAGTATACTAAAAATTCAGAGGTACCCTTGGGGGACAAGTGATTAATTTATCTTAGAGATGTCAACAAAGTCTCCTAGATTAAGTAAGATTAAAAGATGGGTAGGATTTCATCAGAAAAAGGAATGAGTGAGTACAGTGCTAAAAAGATGGAGAAGATTACAAACAGCAGRAACAGATGAGCAAAGGCTTTTCTATATGCAAGAAATTGTAGGCAGTGAGAGAACAAATTTCTCTTCCTGATGAGGAAAACATCAAATAGCAAACACATAAATATGCAAATTATAATATAAATTACATGTAAAATATGATGAATGGTATAGAGGAAAAAAGAGAACAGGTGTTAAAGAATCAGTAATAATCATGAATATTTTTCATGCTCTACGTTCAGGTTCATTTGGCAGTTAGATTAAGGGCATGTGACCAGTTTTGGTCAATAAGCTGGGGGGGTGGGGTGGAGTATGCCTTATGACACTTTCAATCATTCTTGGAACCCTCTCTTCCCAGAGATGTGATTTTGAAAACCATATGTTGAGCCATGTGTGAAGGCTGAGGCAGGAGGTTCAAAGCCAGCCTCAGCAAAATTGAGGAGCTAAGCAATTCAGTGAGATCCTCTCTCTAAATAAAATACAATATAGGGCTGGGGATGTGGCTCAGTGGCAGAGTGCCCCTGAGTTCAATCCCTGGTACCCCTACCAAAAAAAAAAAAAGGAAAAGAAAACCATATGTTGAGATGCATAACAAGATAGGTTATGCATCAGCTTGGGTCCTTGAGGTCATAAGTGAACAGAGCTGTTGGCTAACCCATAATGGATATGTAAACACAAATCAGAGAGAAGCTTTTGTTGTGTTAAACCACTGAGATTTGGGGGGGGGGGGTAAAGCCATTGCCACAATATAACCAAGCTTACTTTAATTTAAACAGAAACAGACATGGGATCAGGAGTTTGGAAGTGTTAGTGGGGCAGGTTACTGTTACATTATATAGAAGATGGTCTGTGGAGGGGCTGGGGATGTGGCTCAGTGGTAGAGTGCTCACCTAGCACCTGCAAGGCACTGGGTTCGATCCTCAGCACCACATAAAAAATAAATAAATAAATAAATAAAAGGTATTGTGTCCAACTTAAAAAAAAAGAAAAAGAAGAAGAAGAAGATCTGTGGAGACTTCATTGAGCAGCTGAGACTTGAGGCAAGACCAGATACAGGCAAGAGAATTAGCCACACAGATACCTGAAGGAAGAACACATACAAGGAAGAGGAGTCAGCTGGTGCCAAGTTCCCAAAACTGGGAAGGAACCTAGTGTGATCAGAGCAGAGAGAACACACATCAGAGGTAGAGAGGCAATGGRGGCAGATTAAGAACAGTCTGAGAGGCCACTGTAAAAAGACTGGAGATGTAGTTCAGAGGTAAAGTGACCCTGGGTTCAATCCCCCAAAACAAATATAAATCAAGTATAGCAGTGTCAGATTGACTGCTAGGTTGAGATTAAATTTGGGGGATCAAAGGCAGTAACAAGGAGACCAGTTAGAAGGCTTTTATAGTATCATCTAGGTGAGGGAGGATAACATGGTTTCTATTTCTACAGTAGAAACTAAAGTCTTTTAGATATTTCTGTTAATCTTTTAGAAGTTATTAATAGAACAAGACAGCCTAACAAATAAAGCAAAACCCTCTTAGCCTTTCCTTTTCCCCTAATCCATGGCACCTTCAGACTTCACTGTGAGGAAGAGTCGAATAGTTGGGAAAAGTCAATTTCATTTTAATCAATTGGTTGATTTTGGGGAGGCCATTAGCCTCTGCCTTCAGGGTATTTTCTCTAGAATTTGCTCTAAGAAAAATTCCTTATAAGAAACACCTGATTCAGTTCTGACTGCATAATGGCTTTCATGTTACTTCCCATTGAATAATGGAATTCTRAGCCAGTGAGCAGGGAGGCAAAAAGTATTCCATCAGTAATCGTAAAGCAGATTTAAATAAAGACCTCAGATCTTAATGACCAAAGGAAATAAACTAGATAGGCTAAATAAGAACAATAGAACTAAAGTGGGATCATGTGAGGAAGAATTATGTGTAACTAATTCATCTATTACATTTATTTATTTCATATTTAAGAATTTCCAAATTATATCTACCTTTAATTTTATGTTAAACTATCTTTAAAAACAAATTTAGAACCACTTTCTTCATTTAGATGTAACTGAAAGGAAAATAGAACTATGTGGAATTATCCTTTGCCAAAAAATAATTCATTAAAAATATGTAATATATGAATATGTACACACACACATACACACTAATCATTTTCAATCATCTATTAGTTCCCCCATTTTTTCATGACTTTTTGGAGTACCCCAGGGCTTAATCCTACAGATACTTCCTTTCCCTCTCTATATCACTCCCTTGATACAGTTCATATGCTCATGGCTTAAACTTATTTCTCTAGACTGGACTTCTCTCCTAAATTCCAGAGTTGTATATCCAACTGCCTTCTTGATATTTCCATTTCAATGTCTAACAGGCATCACAATGTAACATGACCAAACCTGAACTCCAAGTTTCTCTTTCATCTCGCCATTCAGCTGTTAACTGCAATCCTTATGTTAACCGAAAGAAAAGCATATAATATACACAGAAGGAAAAGAGAAGAGAATCCAAAACAACAACAACTGAACATAGTAAAATGAAAAAAATAAGAAACAAAAAGCGCATAAAAAAAGGTGGAAAAAAATTAGCAAAATGGCAAAAGTCACTCCTTACTACTAATTACTTTGAGCAGAAACAGTTTAAGCTCCCCAATCAGGCAGAGATTTGGCAGAATGAATAATACAGTGTGGAAATATATACATTGTGAAAAACACTCACCTTCAGATGCAAAGACTTTTCAACAAAAAAGTTGAAAGTGAATGAATGGAAAAAGATTCTGTGCAAACAATAACAGAGAGCGAGGTGGGTATTTCAATACCAGACAAAATAGACCTAAGTCAAAAACTGTTCCAAAGGACAAAGGAGAGTAAATATTGACACAAGGGTCAATTCAACAACAAGATATAACAATTATAAGCATACATGCACCAAACAAAGCTTCAAAATAAACAAAGCCAATATGAGCATCTTAGTTGATGTAAAAAAAAAAAAAAGAATTTGACAAAATCCAATACCTTTCACGATAAAAATATTTAAAGAACACAGAACAGAAGAAGAGAATTTC